TAAAAAAGCAATAGGCGCCATGCAGTGGATATGAATGAAGTGCGCAAATAGCGATGTAAAGGTATAGCTAGCTTATTTCTGAAAAATGCATCTTCGCAACTTTACTATACATGGTTGTATTTATTGTTAAATATGCTATAAGTTTTGCTATAGGACAAATTTTGAAATTTTCAAAAATTAAGGAAATAGAGGGATTACGAAAAAAAAGGACATTTTCGAAAAATCTGAATGAATTATTATACTTAAAGTACATTAAAAACCATAAAACTTTTATTTGACACTTTTTAAATATATTTTACCGTTTCGATGGTATTAGCTCAAAAATATAAAAACCGATTTTTTTCAAGAAGGTGTTTCACTCCTTTAATGACCGTAGGGGCACATATAAAAAAATACGTGTTTCTTACTTTGACCTAGATTACAACATACTCAAAGCTTATCAAAATCAGAGTGTAACACTTGGGTAGATTTATTTGTCAGTTTTATTGGTGCTTCTAATTATCTTTGCTCATTTCAGGTCTAGAGAACTTTTTGGAGGATTTGGAATTTATGCTGGATCAAAAGCCAAGTGTCTATTGGAGAATATGCTGGTTTATAGTGACGCCGTTTATATTGATAACAATCTTCATTTATACCATAGCTACCTTATCGCCTTTGACCTACAGTGGAATATCGTTGCCGGGATATGCACACGCCATTGGATGGACAATACTCACCATCGGTGTTGTTCAAATACCGCTATGGATGCTGATTGCGATGTTAAAGAATCGAGAATTGCCGTTTGTACAGGTATTGCTACGAAAAGAAAGTCAAGATATAAGGCGCGTTACAAGCACATTTTATGCGAAAAATTTTATGAAAAAGAAACTTAAAAATCAGATGATTAAGTTCATGGTTCGTTGCACTGTTTAAGATGTTAAAAAGAGCTTTCGCACCTCTGAGCGGATGGGGTCCACGGGAGGTGCAGCAACGTAAGGACTGGAGGATCTTTAAGGAGGAGAGAGCGAGAGACCGGGAGAAGAGGGTCCAACCAATCTGGAAGCAAATACTCTACGTTCTTTTAAACAAGGAACTAATATAGAAAGTTTTATACCGATTCAAAACACTTTAAAGTTCTTCGAGTTTTTACAGTCGTTTCTGCCGCGGCGGGATCCGAGGCAAAACCACGATATAAATTAACGAATAAAAACAAATTATTTGTTCTTTAATTCTTTAACTGCACGCGGATTTATAGAAAGCTATTTTGTTCTTTTATTATTTAATGTTACAATATAATAACTGAAAAGAATACAATTAAAAATGTGACTTAATTATAATTTTTTAAAATTAAATATTCCATTAAACTAATTGTTTTTATGAGATATTATTAATCCGCATATATTGTGCACTTATTTAACAGTAGTTAAAGAATTTATATTGTATGCTTTATTTCTTGCTAGTTTCCATAAATCGTTACGTAATGTTGCACTATGTGTAACGTGATATGTGACAAAGAGCTGCCGATATTATTACTCATTTACTGATCGCTATGCGATGATCGCCACATAAACAATCCGAATAACGAACGAACATAGTAATTATAACTTTTATATTATTTCAATAATTGTTAATCTTTGCCAAATAGCGCTGCTATAATTTTCGATTTCTTCGCGCACGCTCATGATATCTTCTTCTAGTGCATAAAATCCCTCCATTCATTATATTTCTTTAGGTCTTTTGGACCCCAATCGGCGCTCGGCTTGAACGTCTAAAAATAAAAAGCGATTAGTTACAATTTCATAATTTTCGACGACGCATAGATTTGTATGCTAGAACTGTATTTAAATAAAATGCAAATGTATATTACATTCGAGTACGTCTTGTCTTTATTCCGAAATCCAACAATGATTATGTCTAAGGGAAGCGGAAGAATTTCTAAAGCCAAAAGCGTCCAACCCGTAGCTGCGAAATTAAAAAGATGTTTTGTGAAATTATTCTATAAAATCGTCTTTTAACTATAATTAAGTTTTTAATTTTCGTACTATATACAGGATGTCTCATACCTTTTAATTAATATTTCTAAGAATAAAAGAGGATAAAATTTTGAACTAAAAGTTCCTTTCCCACTTTTGACTTAGACTATTATTTACCGATTAAAGTTGATCAATCAGGTAGCGTGTAGCCGAAGTATGCAGGAGCGTAGCATGCCATGAGACTCCTCGTGGTTACTATTCTCCGGATTAAAATTTTATTTTAATCTTTTATATTAATAAATTAATAAATAGATAAATACATAAATAAATAAATAAGCAAACAAATATTGCAATAAATAAGAAATAAGTAAGAATAAATAAGAAAAAAGTAAGAATAATAAGCAATAAATAAGAAATAAATAAGAATTTGCAGTCATCATAGACGAATATCCAACTGATTAGCAACGCGAGGAGTAATTTCCATGAGAATAGCCCGAGTCCGTCCTCGATCCCCATTTCATTAAGGATATATTTTTTGATATACAGATAGTTAAAAATGTTTAGTCTATTTGAGAAATTAAAATCCTGATCTTTTAAATGTTTTTTGCGTAGATAAATAGAATAATACAAGAAAAAAATAAAAAGAGAAACTTAATAAGAAAAACTTATGATAACATGAAAGAAAATATTCTATAATAAAGATAACAAGTGAAAGATAGATGATATATATAATGCCAGCGATTTAATACATTACACGTGCAATTTAGTGGATTATTGTTATTATTGCATAGCTCCAAGAGATACGGACATTTTTATTTTAAATCTCATCGTGGAACAACAGATTTCCCATATGTACAAATGATATGGTAATTACAAAAGGCTCCTAATAATTTATGACTGATATCGTATGACCGGTATGACAATAGCAAGTGCGCAAACGGATGCAATAATAATGCCACATTTAAACAGAAGGATAGTCCCAGAAACCTTCTGATGACATCGTAAATAGCAAAAGGAAGATTAATGCACCTAAAATAGAGGTCGGCGGAACTTCTGCTTCCGTTTTTCGCTTGCTCGCCGGTCGATGAGCTATTGAAACACGTGTCGCCCCATTCCTCCTAACAATAGGACCACGGAAGCACTGGCTGACAGCTGGCTACCATGTAGTAGAGCGTCAATGCCATAAGAGCGCAATAATAGGTAATCACAGAGAATACTGATACCACTACGCCGTAGTCGATGCCTAAACGGTCAACAAATTAAGCGATTGTAATTAAATCCGTCGATTGTTTTATTTATCTATGATAATCAAAACTATTTATGTAAACTCAGTGTGTGCATGTTTTATGTATACATATTATTATTCATACATGCACAAGTAATAATAAGTATGTATGAATTATAAGAAACAGAAGCAGAAGACGAATTTATGAATTCTAAAGTTGCAATGTTATAATGAAGTTATAATGAAGTATTAGTATTAATTGAGGGGATGGGCAGAATAAAAGCCTAATTACAAAATCTTGATTTTAATAAAAATTAGTATAACTTACTACTTTCTTATTGTACATAAATGGGTATAGTATCAAATGGATTTATGTAATGTCTTTAAGAAGTTACATGTTACAATACTTCTCTATTACGATCAATATTATATAAAAAGCTAATCTCCAGAAAGAGCCTAAATAGAATTGTGCCTTTATTCCGCTCATCTCCTCAATTGTAATATGTAATATATTAACATATCAGTAGTCGCTGGTATAATAATACATCTTTAAAATTTAGTTGCTGTTAACATAATAATGTTTAAAAATCTGTAGCAGATTGCTATAGTAGTATGTATTATTCTTTTATATTTCACATTCAAATTCATTAAAATGAATTTTTTAATGGTTGAAATTAATTTTAATCTAAAAATTCAACAAATTTGTTTACATATTTTTGGCGCAAAATGTGAAAAAATAAGAATGAATTGTTTTTTGTGTTTTCAAAATAAAGTCAAATGAAACGAAGAGATATGATATATTTTACTTGTAAATCCTATAAAATTTCTTTATATAAAGACAATAGTTTTTAAAAGTATTCTATAAAAAAGAAATATTAAGTTATATTATTATGTCAAAAGTATATTTTTGTAAAAACGTTTAGATAATTTTATTTTTATGTAAAAATGTTCAATTAATTTTTTATATTATAGTAGTAATAATAGTCCCCCTAGGCAGGGGGAAGGTGGGATGGACCTTACTTCGCGTGGAAAATCATACGTCCCTTGATAAGAAGGGAGATGAGGTGGATCTTGCTTCGTGGGAAGGTAAACGCCCCTAGGCAGGGGGGATGTAGGGTGAACCTCGCTTTGCGTGGAAAGTCATACTCCACTAGTCGGTCCACTCCATATCTTTCTCCTACCTAAAGTCATCCGACTTTCCATGTAAAGCAGGTAAATATGAATATGAAATTTTATTGTTAATAACTTTTTAACGAATAACGAATGACAGCTAAAACCTCTTAGAAGTCACTCATAGTCCAGTAGAATTAGACTGAAAAATTGCCATGTTATTTAAAGATTTCGCGTAGAGTTTTGCATTAATATTCCATGTAATGTTTTGTGTATAATCGTATCGAAAAACTTGTAGTGAATTTAGTTGAACGCTGCACTAGTGCGCACTAGCGTATGTTAAAGCCGTGTTGTATACTGATTTAATCTGAGTGTAAAAGTAAAATGCATGTATTCCAAATTATATAATAATACATACATATTTACTTAACCAAACAATAAAATGTATTGAGAATTTCGCGGTTTAATCCATTTCTATATTTATATTGAATACACATCTTTACATTGATTTATGAAACGACGGCTTTAATATGGACCAATGTGCACTGAGTGCGTCTAATCAAATTGATCGCTATTAGAAAAATGAGATCAAGTATACGATTCATAAAGCTGTTCGTATACGCATGAAAATGACTGTCAATTCGATGTCGCGATGCCTTTGTCAAGCTTTTCAACTAAAAGATCAAACGATCTGAAACGATCTTCTTTCTTGACGAAAGTGATACGACACAACGACATGACAAAATCGTATATTTCAGAAAATTACTCTTAAATCGATCCGAAGACGATCAGTGAATGATAATCGATTATGGATAATCTGATCGACGTGTATTATCTGGTTCAATTGATTGTCTGGCAGATTTTAATATTTCTGCGAGTATGTATTTTACACCTAACCCGCTTGTGAAAAAAACTGACAGTAATACTTGTCTATCATTATATTTCTATTATTATATTTTTATGTTAGCATTATGATGTACTTGTTATTGCTTCGACAACAATTGGATTATGAGAACTTTATTTCTCGTTGCATTATATGCATGTAACGTACCCGGCTTGCGATTACAATTTTATGAGTTACAGGAATTCATCTTCCGCAAATTTACGTGGTTCGTCCCTGCGGAGGAAAATCTCGATAACATAAGTTCAAAAATACGCGCCGTCGCGCCACAGCATCCCGCCGCTGATCTTTTAGTATTCCTCGTCATTTGTGGACTTTTCTTCACGTTCATGATACTGTCCACGAATTTTCCCAAGAGCGAAGCATCGCGCTATGACATAAATAACATTGAGACGTAAGTTCATATATCGCCTAATAAGGGAATACTGAAAAATTTTTTGTATTTGTAACTACATAATTACATATTATTATAATTATAATTATTACAATTATAATGCTATTAATAATATAAAACTATATATAATATATAATATAATTAATAATAACTATATATATAGTTTTTATTAACAAATTTATATAATTGGCCACCCAAAAATGACTATAAATATAATTGTTTTCTATTCTTGTTACCACAAAAATAGTTGCAATTACTATAAATTTTAATTAATATTTTTTGGGACAACCATCTAGTGTAATGGTCCTAAAAATGATTATAATAGTAATTTCGATCACTGTTATGATAATTTCAATCATTTTTATGATAATAATTGTAATAGTAGTCATTTTTGGTATATTTGTCACTGTATATGTAATTATTTTCACTAATATTATAACAGTAATAAATATAATAATTATAATTATAGTACATATAAGTGTATAGTTACAAATACTAACAATGTTTTTCTTACAAGAATAGCTCGGCAGTCTATAATCACCGATCAACTTTTTTGGGTGTGTAGTATGCATTGAAATTTGTGCTACAGTAAATCATAGGACCCACTATTCAGTCATTCTCGAGAAAATATTTTTTGGCATCATTAATACTTTACAGAAAACATGAATTTAAAAAAGCTTTTATTTCTTGATGAATATTTGAAATAAGAATTTACAATAATTGTTTTAGCAGCTAACAATAATTAACTTTTAGATCAACATTTATCATAGAAGTAGTTAAAACATAATAATTTGTTGCACCATGCACATATGTATAATCATATATAAATATTATAAATATTATATTATAAATGTTATAATAAATATATTTACAATAATTATTAGTTATTTATTTATAAATAATTAATAATTATCATATTGATAATAATTATTAATAAAAAGTTAGAAGATTTAACCAAGATCTTTTTTCATGACTAATAGGATTTCCATGGCTCTCGGAGAGGATCAGTCAGCCTTCTGGTATTCGACAACGGAATTAACGAATTGCTTCTACGCTTGCGGCGACTCAATTGGTCCATCATGCGACATTGTTCCGAAAATGCAAAATATTTCGAGTCCGGTTATCTCGAACACTAGGGTGTTACAACGTAAAGGTCTTTATATAAGAAACACACAGATCAATTAAAGGGATCCTAAAGCTGCCTGTATTACCGATTAAATCATAATTTTTGTATAACAATTACTTTTTCCCTCTTTTACAGGTTCAAAAATTTTTTTCTTGAATTAAAGTATACGCATTAATACGTGTCTGTGAGATGGAGTTTATGCCGAGAACGACAAAAAATTTTTCTTAAGATTTCAATTTCGAAATTTTTGGTCGTTCTCGGTAGAAACTCCACCTGACAGACACGTATTAATGCGTATACTTTAATCCAGGAAAAGGATTTTTGAACCTGTAAAAGAGGGAAAAAGTAATCATTATACAAAAATTACGATTTAGTCGATAATACAAATGGTTTTAAAATCCCCTTTAACATCATTAATGTTAAGTTCTCTGTTACTATTTTTTTTCAAAAAGAGACTGCGAGTGAAGCCATCTCTCACCACGCGATTCTTTGTCAAGATGAAAGAAATTGCTCAGTCGACATAAACCAAAAGTAACATGATATTAAAGTTATAATTTTGTTAGGAGATAAATGCCTTTTAACGATCTAGTTAGCTGGATTTTACATGCTTGTATAATTCTATGTAAATTTATATCTAATATACAATATGTACTATAATGTATGTAGTTCCTTAAACTGTGCACGGAAATGATTTTTCAGTCTTGAAACGCAAACTCCATTGAAGCAGTAATATCACAAGTTAAATTGACAAGCAATTTAACAATTCGATGCTCATAAGCATTTTAGAATTAACATTATATTAGATCTTAACATAATGCTAAATGATATATTAAAATCTGTAAATATAATTTTATTGCGAAAAATATTACCTCGGCTGGGAATCGAATCCGAATCGTTTGCATTACGTGCAAGCATCCTAAGTCTTTGGAACACCGCGAGGCCTTATTCTGCAATAACTGGCATGTGTACGATCTTGAGATTCTTAGTTTAATATAGTTTATTTACGTCGCCTAAAAAATAAGACATTGCTCCTGCATATGCCAAGTTTTACGAATAATATTACTAAGGCCTCGGTGATCTAAATTCTTGGGACGTTCGCATGGAATGCAAGAAATTCGGGTTTGACTCCCGGCCGAGGTAATATATTTGTCGCAATAAAATTATTTAGGTAATTATGCACTTTAAGGGACATTGTGCCGATGACCTTGACCTTGACATATGTTGTCAATGTCATGACCCTGATTGATCTCCAACACGTTTTAAGTGGCGGTCGTCCTTCGTTAAAAAAAAAGTTATTAAAGTTTGAAAAATAACGTCTCTTTTTTATTATGTATATGAAACAGAAATTCTCTGCCTTAAAATATATATTATGACTTTCCACGCGAAGCGACCTCCACCCCATCTCCCCCCCCTGCTTCAAGGACGCACGACTTCCACGAAGTGGAATAATTTGGTGGAAAGCGACTTTCATCCCACCTTGACCTTAGCATACAGCCTTTTGGACAAAAAAATAAGGTAGAAAAGGGATACCCTTTTTCAAATTTTTTTTGTTAATAACTTTTTAACGAAGGACAACCGCCACCCAAAACTTGTTGGAGGTCATTCAGGGTCATGGCCTTAACAACATATGTCAAGGTCAAGGTCATTGGCGCGGTGTCCCTTAAAGTGCACAATTACCATTATTTACAGATTTTAATGTCATTCAGCATTATTAATATTGTTTTTAAATACTTATGAGCATTAAATTGTTAAATCGCTAGTGAATTTAACTTGTGATATATATTACTGTGGTAATTCAGTGGAGTTTGCGTTTCAAGACCAAGAAAAATCATTTCGAGAGAGAGAGAGAGATGCGCAGTTTAAAGGACTACATACATAGTATATGAATTCCCATAGAATTATACAAGCATTTAAGATCCAGCTGCTGGACCGTTAAAAGGTATCTCCTATTGATTGTATACTCATATGTACGGCGATTCTTAGTTTTATTGTTTATAATTTTGCATTTAATAATATAAATATAATAAAACACATGGTATTATACATATAACAGTTACATTGTGAATGCAAAATTATAACATTGATATGATATTATTTTTAATTGATGGTCGACTAAGTGTGCTTCTTGATTTTCTGAAGTTCCTAAATTTTCTTCAATGATGCCAATTATAACTTTAAGATTCTGTCGCGCGATTTCGCAAATACACAGTGCATGAAATAACGCAATGGTTTTATAGACTCAGTCTAGATCTGTTTCATGAAGTTAATCCTCTTATTTCTTTTTTTGCTTTAGAATCTAGAATCTCACATTACGACGCTCACTCTAGCCATATCATTAATCATTCTCAAAAGACACAGGCGAGTCGTTCTGTTTCTCAGACCATACCCCGAAAATGGTTGATAAGACGCACTAGGAGCGGTCATGTCTATGGAAAATACCCGATTTAAAGAAAAAAATGATCGATGCCAATCAATGAAGGGATTTATTTATAATAGCTCGTCGTTTAATTCCAGATGAAAATATCTTCTTCGTCTGAAAAGGATCACAATTGCTTCTTGCGAGCGTTCTCTAGCAATTTTTAATAATTTTTAATAACTATTTTTTATTATAATTGTTTTCCTTGTTATAGTTTATATTGTCTTTTACTGCGTGAAGAGCAATTTTCTTGAGACTTTCGATTTTTATATTTTTATCAACCTTTATACGTTGCATGTATTACCGAATATAATCTCTGTAAATAGGATTACGTATATATTTGTAATCGACATATATTAAATATTTGTTATTAAATATTTTATTAAAAGTCCTAATTTGTGTGTATGTTATATCAATAAACTTTGAATTTTTTTTTTCATTGTACGTTTATAATGCTTAAAAATTAATAAACTTTTGATCGTCGCCGTGAGCCCTCCGCTACTGCGAAGTCTCAATGTTTAAATGATCATAACTCTGCGAAAAAAATCGCAGAGATCTGGGACACCACGCGTTGTTCTCGTCTTGGAAGGCCCTTTCAAACGAGCCCTCAGTCGACCTCACGTGCAATTTAAGATTCTTCCGCCCCTCTTCCCCCCGCCTCCCGCGGGTTTAAAATGGGCTTTTTTGGTATTAAATGATAGATTTTATGATGCCATTTGCATCCCTATAAACTTCAATCCTCTATCTCGAACCGTTCAGAAGTTATTTAGGTGTCCCGGCTGCAATAAATAAATTTTTAGTGCAAAAATGAAAATAAGAAGGATAATCTCCAATGGCCTTGATCTTGACAAATGTTATCCAGGACATGATCTTGAACAAAGCCCGATCGCCGGTGAATTACAAATTCTCGCCGCTTAAATATTTTTCATTAGCACTTGTGCCTAACTGTTACTTTACATACATTGCATGATGCTTCTGTATTGCTTTCTGCAGTAAAATAATTTCAACTCCAATGGAATTTTATATCTGAATGTTCTTCTACCAAGTGCTTATGAAGAACAAATAAGTGGCGACATTGGGTATCATGAATATTCTATTACAATAATTGCATCTTGCCTCATTACTCCTTAATTTTGTGTAATGTCCACGTATCGAAAGACGAACTGGGATAAAATTGTATGTTTCCTTTTGAGTTATATCCTCATATCCTCATTTGCAGTCATATCAATATCTTACAAATGAGGATTGTTTATTAAAAAAAAAAAAAAAAAAAAAAAAAAGTACAGTGGGGATATTATTTAAATTTATGTACATCCTCCGCGATACGGACTCAATTATAATTTTTTAGAATCCATTATTTGAACATTTAGGAGTGATCAAGAATGTAGAGCTCAAGCAGATTTAAATATTCTGTAAATCTGATAATTACCGGGGAAAATGAGAAAATTCCACTATTACTAATTTTATACTGAACATAATGATAATAAATTTGAAACATGGAATTTAGTTTGTATTCAATGAGGTCATGTAAGATAAATGAATACTGATTAGTTTCGTAAGGAATTACGCAATCAAAGGAATAGGGATTGGGAAATAAAAAATAAAAATTTCAACCTTTCAGAAATCATGTATTGTGGACTTCACAGTTTCAGATAGATTCTTAAAAATTTTATTCTCTGTTTCCCTATTCCTTTGATTACGCGAAGTATCTAATCGACTTACAACCTGCGTTAATAAAAAAGATGCTTTATGACAGCTTGCAAATTTTTACTGGTTTTTAATAGCGATTAACCCATTTGCAGGATATGTTATCGGTAGATAACGAGATGCACGAGCTACAACCTCAGCAATTTATTGCAGTCTGTATTGCCTGTTATAAAATGTTATAAAACGAAAGCCATCTTTATCTCCGCGGACAGTGTCTTTCATTTTTGGATTATGTGAATTGCGCACGTATAATATCCCAATAAACATATGATAGTACGTTAAACGTTTATTAAATGTAAAGTAGGTATAAAAATGGTATAAGAATAAAAGTGGTATAGCAGATAATCATTTTAATTTGTACCATTTTTATGCAATCGTGTAATATATGATAATAATATCCATTTTTATTATGTTTGCATAATACAAAACAGATTTTATACGTTTAAAACCAATATACGAAAAGAAAGAATATTTAATTTTAAGAGTGTTATTTATGTTTATTTATTACGTATAATCGAAAAAACTGTTTACTGAAAACATATATTATTTATAAAAGAGATCTCATTTGTAAACGTTTACAAAATACTATTGTGTAAATGGTATAACTTACGTCTTTAAAATATCAATATAAATGATTATCCAACTACTCATAATTAGATATCGGATTCTGCAATTTCATATTTTTTTAGAAAACAGATTGGAAAATAACATCAAAATAGAAATTTGTTTTATTAAAAAAGCATTCTAAAAATGCATATTTATTTGTGCATATTGTGCACATTTGCATATTTGTACAAATTTGCACATTTTATGCATGTCTGCAAAAAATATCTGCATAAAAATCTGATGCCTATTCATAATATACGTCTATGATACATATTTTGACTACAGTATTTAATGATATTATATATTGTCTAATAAACACATGTTGGTATATTATGCATTTATTAAATGTAAGTGTATAAAATTGATTTAGGTATATGGCATACGTTAAAAAATAATTCATGAAACATTAGAATTTTATCTACGTTTATAATATGTATAAAAAACAGTATAATATTCTAATGAAATAATATGTCAAGATTATTGGAATTGGTGAGATCGTCCATTTTCTGAAGTTTTATCAAAAATTAGAATATGCTTTTCACGTTGTTATTTATTTGTTATACCTTTCATGTTTGTATTATTTATTTAAATTCTCCTTTTATTTTAATTAAATATGATTTTATTTTATTTCAAGAAATAAAAGGAAAGCTTTCAGTATATTTTACAGACATATCCAAACAGTCGTCGTTATTGGCAACTTCAATCATGGCGCTATTAATTTGCGTAAGCACTAACGATTCGGATTTTGTTTAATCGCTAAACAAACTCTACATCGTTCCACGAAAAGTTTTTGTGTCTTTAAAAATAGGGACACATAATGATTAGAAATATGCGGACACCGCGATTTCTGTTGAGAAATAGAAGTACATACATTTTATGCATTGCGTTTAATTCACGATTATTCATAACAAAAGCCCTAAATGAGTAAAAATAGGGACATTCACCTTATAGGTTGTTCATAGCACTCTTGAAATCATTTTATCTTCGTTATTTATCAAATGTTAAACAAAGACAAATGAAACGCAGCCCGCAGCTTATGCTTATATTCTTTCAGCAGGGCTGTTCAGAAATTACGCCTAGATAACTCTAGGGTGCATTTTTGCTATAATATACGTAACGTAACCTATAGCTTAGAGTTATCTGGGCGTAATTCCTGAACGCAGCCCAGTTTTCAGTAGCAAATTCCAATCGATGAAACTATGGTAACGTTAACGAAACAAACTACTGTCATTGTCTAATGTAAGAGTGGTAGCCGGTGGTAACCGATAGCGTCGATAACGAGTCGAACAGAGTGTTTTCTTTCCTTCCTGTCACTTTTATCGGTCATAGATCTACATTAGACAAATTATAGTAAAAGCCATCGAATAATTCGCTCTCTGGTCATATAGACTCGTCGTCATACAGACTCTGAGAGCGATCGTCGAAGGACGTGTCAATGGACACTCCTCGGCGCCGATCATGGATATCAAGGACAGTAGTGACGAAGAGGATGAGAGAACACGGGACATCACAGCGTTTGGTAAATTCGACGAGGCGATCGTGGTGCGTAACGCCGAGGAAATCAAGAGCCCGGTGAACCGCGGACTCTTGAGTTCCAGGAGGACCAGGAAAAGCATAACGAGCGACAATACGAATACGTTGGCGTCCAACTCGCCACGTGGCAGCAAGCATGAATTCAGGAGGTAATCGCCTCATGCAAATCCCGACTTATTTATTACCGCTAATTTACAATAACATTCACCTATAAGTGACATCAAAGTTTCGTAAAATTTTCCTGTTATGCTGATTCTACTATGAGTCTGTAGTCGAAAAGTCTTAGGATATATCCACACAAACTTATACAGCACAGAAAGATTGCAAAATGATTGCAGATATATCTCATTGCAATGTTGCAAATAGATTGCGCAATGTATTTGCAACATTGTTGCAATGTCATAGCATCATAAAAATGTCCGCCATCAATAAGATTGCGCTGTAATAATGTTGCAACGCAATGTATTTGCAATTATTATTAAAAATAATTCTTTTATTATTACTGAATATAATTTTAAATACAATTTGCGTTATGAATAAAAAAAGTGAAGAAAAAGAACTAATCAATATATATTTTATTTCATATAGGTATAGTATAATTTTATATATAATTTTATATTTAATATATAATTTTTATATAATTATTATATTTTATACTTAATTGCAAATTTTATATGCAGATATAATATATGTATGTTTTAAAATTTATATATATGGACATATATTTTACACTTTTTCGCAAATATATGTTTTACACTCTATGCAGGTACTCCTATTTTATATATATTGAGCGCTCAGTGAGCTCTTGCATCTGATTGGCATATTCCGTTAGAACTAAAAATATAGATTCAAGAGCTCAGTGAGCGGTCGTAGTACTGAATGCACCCATTGGCTGCGTTCAGCAGAACACAATGTTTTGCAACCGTTTTATGATTGTTTGCTGAGATAGGACCATTCTTTTTGATCTAAAAGTATCTATAATCCAATCAGCACGAAAAAAACTTCCAACAGTTGCAAAATAAACGTTCTGCTGAACGTAGCCATTGTACACTGAAAAAAAGATTGGCTACTGCAGCAAATTAGATGGTAAAATATGGCATAGTATTTTTAATTGGCTGCAGCAGCCAATTTTTGGTTACGTTAGCCTATCTACAATGTCAGTATAGGATTTCGATAGACTAACACAATCAAAAATTGACTGCTGCAACCAATTAAAAATGCTATGCCA